GCGGGGGGACCCGAGCCCATCAACGGGCAAGGGGGGGGACCCCGGCGTCCTGGCTCCCACCTCCGTGTCACAGGAATGTCCTGGCGCTTCGCCCATCCTCCTCTCCCAAGCGAGGAAGAGGAGGCTGGCGCTCCGTGCTGGATCCCAGCTCCATCCAACCCCCCGGCAGCGCGCCCGGCCCCATCACCTCGGTGTTGGAGAGCTGGTACCAGGGCTGCTTCCCGTAGGTGAAGATCTCCCAGAGCACCACGCCGAAGCTCCAGATATCGCTCTCCGCCGTGAACTTGCGGTACAGGATGCTCTCGGGGGGCATCCAGCGGATGGGCAGCATCGTCCGCCCGCCCACCTGCCCGGGGCAGGGCGCTCAGCGCGGGGGGCTCCGCTCAGTCCCCCGTGCGCCGAGTGCTCCCCGACCCCCATTAAATATGGATGGGGGCAGCGGCTGAAAGGGAAAAACGGAGCGCGCTTCCCAGCAGGAGATGGAGGCCGAGATGCTCCCTGGAGCCCTCCAGCCCCGGCACTGGGAGGCTCCCTGCGAGGGGACCGCGGCCGGCGTCTCACCCGGTAGTAGTCGGTGCTGTAGATGTCGCGGGACATGCCGAAGTCGCCGATCTTCACCACGAGGTTTTGGCCCACCAGGCAGTTGCGGGTGGCCAGGTCGCGGTGCACGAAGTGCAGGGAGGCCAGGTACACCATGCCCGAGGCCACCTGCGTGGCGATGTGCAGCATGTGGCTCAGCGTGAGCTGCCCGTAGGGCTGGCCCTGGCCGTCGTCCAGGATTTTGGCGTCGGGACCGTGGGACCTGCGGGGGCAAGAGGGGCTGCTCGGAGCGGGGCCGAGGAGAGGGGGAAGAGCCCTGCACAGATGTGCATGGTGCGTGTGACAGATGTGCATGGGGCAGATGTGCACACTGGAGAGGTGCATGCATGCACATGGTGCATATTTGCATGCGTACAGCAGATGTGCATGTGTGCCTGTTGCAAATGTGCCTGCATGCACACGGCAGATGTGCACATTGCTGAGGTGCATGCATGCAGCGGATGTGCACAGTGCAGATGTGCATGCATGCAGCAGATGTGCATGCATGCCCATTGCAAAGGTGCACGCATGCAGATGTGCAGAGGTGCGTGCGTGCAAGGAATGGGCGCGCGTGCAAGGGCGCCGGGCGAGGGTGCGAGCGCACGCGGGCAGGGTGTGAAAGGCAGCCGGGGCTCGGGGCGCCTGGCGTCGCCTCGGCCTTTGATGCCAAGCGCTGCTGACAGCCGGGCCGAGGAGGCCGCGGCCGCGAGCGGGGGGCTCTGCTCGGCAGAACCATTACTGCCAAGTCCCATAACAATAATCATAAAAGCCACGTCTCAGAGCTCATCGCGGGGCCACTAAAGCGATGCCTCTGGCAGCCCCCCCGTCTATCAGCAATACCTGGGGGGCCAATCGAAAAGTCTCTGCTTATTCCAGCTGATGGCCAATCTCTCTCTATTTAAGCCTCTCAGACAGCTAATCTAATCAATATTGCAAGGAGGGCTGCATTAGCAGCGAGCGCGGAGCGGGGCTGTCTGAGCCGCGGCACTCGGAGCGGCGGGGAGGGGCCCGCGGCGCCCGGACCCACCGGAGGAAGCGGTTGAGGTCCCCGTGCTCCATGTACTCGAAGACCATGATGAGGGGCTCGCCGTCCGTGCACACGCCGTAGAAGCGCACGATGTGCTCGTGCTGCAGCACCGTGAGCAGCTCCGCTTCCCGCTGGAAGTCCAGGCGGGCGCTCTCCGTGGCCTCCTTCAGCGCCTGGAGCGGCGGCAGCAGCGTCAGGCGGATCGAGGGGGCTGCCGATGCTCCGTGTCGCCCGCCCGCCGCGCTCACCTTCACGGCCACCAGCATCTTGCGCTGCTCGGGCAGCAGGTTGGAGCACTCGGCCAGGAAGACCTTGCCGAAGGCGCCTTCGCCCAGCTCCCACTTGAGCGCGATGTCGCGGCGCTGCACGTGGTGCACGCCTGCCGGGGGGCATCGCGCCGGGCATCAACACCATGCGGCCCCACGGACCCCCCCGTGCCGCGTCCCAATGCCATACGGGTGTCACAGAAGTACTGCGGGTTCTCGATGACGTTGCTCTTGAGCCCCTCCAGCTTGCTCTCGGCCGAGGACGGGGGGCTGCTGCCCAGGTTCATGAGGTGCAGGGACATGGCCAGCTCGTCCTCGTGGGCCAGCACGGCCGAGCCTGCGGCACCGGCACGTTGGGCCGCGAAGGGCCCTGCCGAGCGCCCCCCCG